CCCCCCCCCCCCCCCCCCCCCCCCAGGCAAATGCATGTTCTTCTCACTCTCCGTCTAACCTAGGATGCTTAGAGTAAAGTGTGTTACTTAGATCACTTCTGCCTTGGGCTTTTTGAATGTCTGTACCTGGCTAAAGATATAACTGGCCTCCTTATGGTTCAGAAATGGTAGTCAGTGTGTAAACACCTGGAAGAGGGGGGTGCTCAGCCCCTGGGCCACAGGCCAGATGTGGCCTACAGTGCCATGTCAGCTAGCCCATGAGGCTTCCTATGGGTCCAGAAATTAGGTGGTAGGAGAGTGGTGGCTTCACTTCTCTGCTGCCAAATTTTTGGATCCATAGGGAGCCCCAGGCCCTGTGTTATAAATCAGACACCCAATCCCAGCATGTAGGGTCAGGTAGGAACAGTGTGCAGTGCAAGGGTCCAATGCCAGTGTGGAAAAGTGAGAGGGAGTGGTTCTGGGCCCACACCACCCAATCCTGGCACTTGGGGGTGGGAGAGATTGGTGCAGGCCCAATCTTGGGGCCCAGGGATAGCACTGGGGCCCAAACCTGGCATGTAGGGGTGAGAGGGGGTGGTACGAGGGCCAATGGGGTTCAACCATAACAGGAGAGGGTGGTGTCAGACCACTCAAAGGGCCAATCTCAGCATGCAGGGATATAAGGAGGCAGTGCCAGAGCCCTCAAGGCCCAATCCTGGTAGGAAGGGGTGGTGCCAGGCCCCAGTGTTTTTTCCTGCCATTCTGAGCTCTATCCAGCCTGTGGACTGGCTCCAGGCCACTCACCTTGTCTGCAAGGCCAAGAGGTTGAGCACCACGATCTAGGCCTCTCGTGATCTGTAGGATAGCAAATGCCAAAAATGAAAATATGTGCAACCTTTGCTGAGGTAATAAATCAAAATAATAGTTACACAATATAAAATACATTCACTTGCCATTGTGTTTTTTTCTGGCAATCAAATCTTAGTCCTGTCCCCAACCTTCCCTACCATTCCCCCCAATGTTATGTATTACCATCAAGTCAAATAAAAAATTGCTTTGGGCTTCGGTAACTGAGAGCAAGACAGAGGATTTTCACGGATTTTATTTGTTCTAATGGGCTATGACAAGTTTGTTTTTGGAACAACTGCTAAAGTAAGCAAGTATTTTGTAAATGTGAAGTAGACATTCCAGCTACTTTTTATTGTTTGTTGTTCATTGCTGGATGCTATCATAGAAACGATATGATAAAGTTAAGCAAACATTTGGTTTGAGGTGGGAAGATGGTAGCTGAATCACAGAACTGAGATCAGTTAGGGAATAGCGTGTTTTTAAAATCAGAGTATTATTCAGTGACATTTCAGAAACAAGAAGATAATGAACATTTTTATTTGAACATCTGTACAATTTTAAAGTGTTGATATGTTGGTGATATGTAAGACATTTTTAAGGAACTTGAAGTAAATAGTCACCGTCTTGGGTGATAGTCATATATTTAAGGTTTTGAATTTCTTGAGTTGCACAAGGTGATTGTGGTATTGGCTTGTAAAGTACCATTCACATTTTGTGATGTTACTGCTTACTTTATAAATTGAAACTTGGACCATAAGCCAGAGGAAATATGAAACTAGATAAGATATTTGCTCCTTTTAATATTAGCAATCATGTGCTGCCCGTCTAATGTGAAGGTTATGTCTAAAGCATATGTGAGGTAACATAATAAGGTATGCATACGTTGTAATTTAATATGTTATATACAGTGAAATCTGAGTAGCATGAGTAGTAACGTTTAAAAAAAACACATAAAGAATTCAGCCCTGTTTTTCATGGCCTGTGCAACTGTCTCATCTCCACTGAATTCAGTGGGAGCTTTGGATGTGCAAGAAATGCATTATTTAATGCAGTTTTTCAAATATTCAGAAGTAATTAGGATCTTATGTTCTACCTGGGAAATAATTCTAAACTCTAGAAATATGAAACATGTTAATCCCAAACACTAGCAAGCCAAAATCAAGTTGAAGATTATAAACTGCATTTTTCAACATCAAGAAATCCTATTATATTTAGATTATAGTAAATATCGTACTGAATCCGAATAATGGGAACCGTGAGAAATCTTATGCACATTACCAGAAATTTATTATAATACATGTAAACAAGAACATAAAGATGACTTTTCCATTGGCAATGACATTTAGCTGAATGTATTAAGCTAAATCAAATGCAATAGAAGTCAGGAAAAAAAAATCTCCAGATGCAGTCTCTAGCAGCTTGCCCAGCACAAAATTGAATTACCTTTTTTATGAGCTTTAAGTTACAAAATCTCCTTTGAGATTTTGTGTGTGGGTAGGGTAAGGACACTATGTAAAATGGAATAAACCAAGAGTATCTGAAGTTCTGTGATTTTTTTTGTAAGGGTATAGACAAATGTAACAACTGAAGTGTTTCAGAGTGCAGCTACATGTTAACATGCTTAAAAAATGTAGTGTTTCAGCTGCAGATGGTCATGCAGCCCCTTGTCACACCCCCGAGCTGAAACACTTCAGAATCACTGTGGCTGCATACAGAGGCACACTGTCCAGCTGGGGGCACTGCAAAGAGCAAGGATAACCTGTGGCTGTGTTCCCACCTGCCCACTGGGGGTGGGGTGTAGTGGACTGTCTATAAAGCTTTACAGACCCTTTTTACATGTGGTGGAGACAGCATCAGTGAGCACTCTTCTGTCTACTCCACCCCAGCTCTTCTGGAGCACCCTCTGACCCACCTGGACCTAGGAGACTGGAGAACTCCCACCCCTCTTTGCCACCAGAATTGGGAGGTATGCAGGGAATGGGAGCAGGATCCCAGCTTTGGCCACAACCATGGTATAGGGTTTCTGGTCACCCAGCTTTGGTGTAGTTGGGAGTGTTGAGTCTCTAGTGTCTTGACTGCAGCATGTGGCTTCCCAGTTTGAGGGGGAGCATGAGGCCTCATGGTTTTGCTAGGGGCCAGTGTGGGAAAGCAGAGGTGGAGCACACGGGACAGCACTCACTGACAGTTTGCCTCGCTCTTCCTGCTGTTCCCTCCATGGTGGAATAGAGGGGAATTGTGGGATGATCTGGAGATTTCCTGTTGCACTCTATAGAGCAGGGGTAGGCAACATTTTTTGGCCGGAGTGCCGAAAAAAACACAATGTCTACCTTGGAAGGTGCCAGAGTGCCGACATGCCAAAACCCAGAGCAGCTGTTTGCAGCCTCCCAGCTGCAGCCAGCCCATGGACCCTGGTCTGCTTGCAGGAGGGCTTGCTGCGGCCCTCCCAGCCGCCTGCTGGGAGCAGCTTGGGCTCCGTGGCTGACAGCAGCTGCTTAGAGCCTGGGCTGGTGGTGGCATGCTGAGCAAAATGGCCTTGCATGCCATGCTCAGCATGCGTGCCAGGGGTTGCTGACCCCGGCTATAGAGCATCAATAGGTAAGAAGAGCTTTACTTTGAAACAATTCTAAATAGTACTTCATTTCAACAGGGTCACTTTGAAGCACTTTGGCCATTTCCAGAGGTTTTCAAAGGCCATGTACCTTTGTTCAGCTCCTCCTTTGAAACATGTCAAAGGCATTTGAAATACTTCAAATGTGATGTCTGTCCACATCTGAAAGTATTTGCAGGTGGAGTAAATGTTGTTTGTCATTCAGTATCCATTATATTCTCTTGTTTAAAAGTTTTCTGTCAAATCAGGAAGCAGAAACAGTCATATGACCTAAGTAACCAATCAAATACCATTAGTAATAGTGAATAAAAAAAAGTCTATTACATTTTGGACATGGGCAAATATTTCACCTAAAGTATTGGTAAATACTTACAAATAAAAAATCCCTTTGCAGATAGGTGTTGAATAGGATACAATCCATAGAAGTGTCAGAACTGATTAGTTGAGTGCCTCGGTACAGTGGAACTTTCTAGCACAAGGCACGGTGAGACAGGGGAATTCTCGGCATGGTGGAGAGCCCCAGCGTGGAAAAAGTTCCCGCCGTTCATATGCAAATGCGCATACTCTGATTGGCCGGTTTCAAATTATTTCTACGTGGCGGCTGGCAATTGGCTCGCTAGCCGTATAAAGGGTTGGAGTCGTTTCCGCCCAGGTTGGAGAACTCCGTGCTCGTCTCGGAGTGGAACCTGAAGGTCTGATCACCCGCTACAACTCCCCGTCGATGACCCCCCGACGTACCCCCGTG